TTTTCCCCCGAGGAGCTCTACGAACACCCTGGCCAGAATCTGCCAGAGCGCACTAGTAAGAACCGCCAGGGCAAATTGTTTCTCGCAACAGTTGCAAACCATTTGTCAAAGCCCTGGGCTCCTTAATTAATCCAATTCTACCCCAAATTGACTTTCAAGCATGTCATAACCCACTGCAACTGCCCCTTTTTTACCTCCGGGAGTTCCTCGAACTCCCTGGCCAAACCTACAGAGCGCACTGGTAAGCACCGCTAGGGCATTCTGGCTCTTGCAACAGTTGCAAACCATTCTTCGAAGCCCTGGGCACCTTTATTAGTCTATTGCCACCCCAAATCGACTTTCTAGCCCCTGAAAACCCACTGCAGCTGCCCCTTTTGCCCCCCACTGGAGCTCCCCGAACACTTTGGCCAGAATCTGCCAGAGCAGCACCGCCACTCAATTTCGGCATTTGGAATTGTTGCACGCCACTTTTTGAAGCCCTGAGCACCTCTTTTAGGCAAATTCCATCCGAGATTGACTTCTTGGCCCCTCAAAACCCACTGCAACTCCACGGTTTGCCCCCCGGCAACTCCCCGAACACTCTGGCCAGAATCTGCCAGAGCAGCACCGCCACCCAATTCCGGCACTCGCAACAGTTGCAAGTTCCTTTTTCAAGCCCTGGGCAACTTCTTTAAGCTAATGCCACTGCAAATCGACTTCCAGGCTCCTTAAAACCCCCTGCAACCAGCCCTTTTGCCCCCCGGCAGCTTCCCGAACACTCTGGCCAGAATCTACCAGAGCAGCACCGCCACTCAATATCGGCATTCGCAACAGTTGCAATCCACTTTTTGAAGCCCTGTGCACCTCTGTTAGGCTAATGCCATCCTAAATCGACTTCCTGGACCCTCACAACCCCCTGCAACTGCACCGTTTGCCCCCCGGCAGCTCCTTGAACACTCTGGCCAGAATCTGCCAGAGCAGCACCGCCACTCAAATTCGGCATTCGCAACAGTTGCAAACCACTTTTTGAGGCCCTGCGCACCTTTTTTATTCTAATGCCATCCCAAGTTTACTTCCTGGCCCCTCACAACTCTCTGCAACTGCCCATTTTTTCCCCCCTGGCAGCTCTCCGGACACTCTGGCCAGAATCTGCCAGAGCAGCACCGCCACTCAATTTCAGCATCCGCAACAGTTAGAAATTAATATATGAGGCCCTGTGCACCTTTGTTATTCTAACGCCATCCCAATCTACTTCCTGGCCCCTCACAACCCTCTGCAACTGCCCATTTTTTCCCCCTAGAAGCTCTCCGGACACTCTGGCCAGAATCTGCCAGAGCAGCACCGCCACTCAATTTCGGCATTCGCAACAGTTGAAAATTGAATTATGAGGCCCTGCGCACCTTTTTTATTCTAATTCCATCCCAAATCTACTTCCTGGCCCATCACAACTCTCTGCAACTGCCCATTTTCCCCCCTTGGCAGCTCTCCGGACGCTCTGGCCAGAATCTGCCAGAGCAGCACCGCCACTCAATCTCGGCATTCGAAACAGTCGCAAGCCAATTTTTCAAGCACTGGGCACCTTCTTTATGTCGAGATAGTAAGTACGATGAGGAGCCATAGCTAGGGTTGACCTAGCTAGGCAAGAGAGAATGAAGCAAAGGAGAGGTTTGCACTAGCAACAATGGTGGTACAAATAGCTAACCCTAGAAGGGTTGTACTCGCTATAGAGCACCCCACTGCAGGCTAGAGCATAATATTCTGACACACCCCCATAGCCAAAGTGGGGTGTAATCAGCAGAGCAAGCAAAGCAGTACAAGCTCAGGGTGGATCACGATGTCACCACACATTCTGAGCACAAGTTCAAGAAGCAATAGTTTAAAGTTCACAATTATGAGCAAAGCTAGAGGCAGTCACAGAGGGCAAGTGAGGAGGAGGAGGGCTGGCGAGAGGAGAGTAGATTAAGAGGCGACGACTGAAGCTGCAGACACACGGGCAACAGACGGCTCTGGTGCGACACAGTGGCTACCGGGAATGAGTGCCCCGGAGTACAGGAGTAACAGGCTCCGCGGCTAATACGCGCGGCAGGAGCAACGGACCCACAGGCGACGGCGCAACCGGCTCTCTGAGCTACCGGGAATGAGTGCCCCGGAGTACAGGCGCTGCGTACGACACGACGGCAACCTCCGCTCAACCTCCCCCAACAGTCCCACACCCCTCGACACACACCCCCTGCTTCAAACCCTAGCTCCACTCCCACGGTACCCCCCTTAAACCCCAAACCCTAGGCTCCCACACACCACCCCCCTCAGCGGCAGCTGTAGCAGAGGGAGACGAGGGAGGAGGAGGAGCAGGGGGAGTAACTCACAACCGACACCCCCATAGCCGCCACCCCCACACTCCTCACCCCCAAACCCTAAAACGGGCGGAACGGGGGAAGGAGCACGGGGGACGGCGAGGGGGACGGCGCGCGGCCCCCAGGACGCCACCACGGGGCAGCGAGGGGCCGCGCGCGGCTCCTTAGGGCGCCGCGAAGGGGCAGCGGGGGTCGCGCGCAGTTCCCCAGGGCGGCGCGACGGGAAATCGGGGGCCGCGCGCGGCTCCCCATGGCGTCGCGACCGTCGACGGGGCAGCGGGGGGTCGCGCGCGGCTCCCCAGGGCGGCGCGACGGGAAATCGGAGCAGCGGGGGTCGCGCGCGGCTCCCCAGGGCAGCGCGACGGGAAATCGGGGGCACTCGGGGGTCCCCCACGGTAGGAAACCGCCGCGCGCCTCGGGGCGCACGGCGGACAGGAAACCGCCGCGCGTCCGGGGCGCACGGCGGGGAGAAAACCGCCGCACGCCCCGAGCGCGCGGCGGGATGAAAAATCCGTCGCACGCCACGGGGCGTGCGACACAAACAGTAGTAGGAGCAGCGGAAGACTGAGGTGGTGGGGCCCACCCACAGGATCGACCCAACTGGATCGTCCTGCTCTGATAGCATGTCGAGATAGTAAGTACGATGAGGAGCCATAGCTAGGGTTGACCTAGCTAGGCAAGAGAGAATGAAGAAAGGAGAGGTTTGCACTAGCAACAATGGTGGTACAAATAGCTAACCCTAGAAGGGTTGTACTCGCTATAGAGCACCCCACTGCAGGCTAGAGCATAATATTCTGACACTTTAGGCTAATGCCACCCCAAATTGGCTTCCTCGCCCCTCACACCCCCCTGCAACCGCCCCTTTTGCCCCCCGGCAGCTCCTCGAACACTTTGGGCAGAATATGCCAGAGCGACATCGCCACTCAATTTCGGCACTCGCAGCAGTTGCAAACCACTTTTTATAGCCATGGGCACCCTTGTGAGTCTAATGCCACCACAAATCGACTTTCTAGCCCGTCACAACCCATTTAAAATTTAATTGTGAACACTTGCGATTTGCCTTGCAAATGCAACGTCTCATTTCAACTGGCAAGTACAAGATTTTATCGTCCAAGCATTGTACAACATATAGAGCTACCATGCATCTCATGCTAGGGTGGGGGGGCGGGAAACTTGAAATTGAAAGTTCGAAATGAAAACGTGGGTGAAGGCCAAATGGCCTTCGCCCCCTCTTTTATACCGAAAAAGAGGGGAATTAGCGTTTCGCCGAAGCCTTTGCTTCGGTACAATTCGCTTCGCTATTCACAATACACAATTTTGAAAAGTGTTACACACTTAAAAATTTTACATTAATTGGAATTATCCAGTTTTTTTTGTTGTATTCCAGATGATAGGAAAACCAAATTGATATGAATATCAGAAGATAATGCGTGAAAGATTTTATTCTTTGTGACTCTTGTGATGTTTCATGTATGAACAAAATGGTTTCTATTACTTTTTATATGTTTTCATGTATGAAATGTATTTTCTGTTTCCATTTCCTGTGTTCTAACCTTGCGCCTTTCAGCGAGGTTTGCGGTCAACGCGATTCACTTGTCGTTTTTGCTGATGCCTGCGCCTGTGTGCACCCGCCGTTCCCTCCCCACCCCATTCAGCACCGTCGCCACGCAAGCACAGCACCGCCCCGCACAACCCGTTCCGTCATCTGCGGCAGCCCCCAAGCGTGCTTCATCACCGCTCTCAGTCACCCTCGCGTGCGGCTCGTCGGCAGAAATAAGCCAATCAGGCGCACGAAATCCGCGGTCCGCGGTGAAATTCACAAAATTTCAAACCGGGCCAGCAGGTTCGTGCGGCAACCTCCCCAAACCCCAACTCTCTCAACCCCACCCCACCTCACAAACCTTTGCGCTCAACCATCCCCTCAACACATATATCCAGAGCAACTCTCTGAACAACTCACACCCACTCACAACTACTAGTACTACTACTACTAGTCGCATGCTCATACCTAGTGCTAGGTACTAAGATACTCGCTTTCCCTCGTCTGCGCCTATAATTTCGTGGCATTGGAAAAAACGCCTGCTCGATTCCTTCTCTCCAGTAGCGCCTCATTGACAGTTCTTCGTTTGTTCGCGTCGTAGCTCCCAACCGTCAAATGGCACACGGCACTTCAGCACCTTCCACGTTTGTTGCACTGCTCTTCACAGGTGAGAGCACTTGCCATAACTGTGCCGTCGTTAGTAGTAGCTGCGGAAGTCTTAGCTTGACACGCCAAGCAACTGAATCACATCTTGCAGCTTAGTTTGATTGAAAACTGACAAAAAAAAACGCTCACTCTCTGTTTTTTCTTCATTTGCAGTGCTTTTGGCAACACAACAAGCCGATGCAAGTCGATTTCTTCCCAGCGCCGTCAACCGACTGCCAAGCAGCTTAGACTCAGCTGTCGCGGCGGCAGGCGCAGCAGCCAGTAGCAGCAGCCTCGCAGCAACCCTCGGTTCAACGCTCTCCGACCTCCAGACGTCCCTGAACGACCAGATTGCATCTCTAGACGAGCTTCTAGGAAAACCGCTCGAGAAATTCTTGGCAACAGTTAGCAGCTCCGCGCCAGCTGCAAGCGCCGCGCTCCAGGCACAGATAACCGCGCTAAAAGCCAACCCGGTGCTTTGAATGCGAGCCTCGTCAGTTTGAACGCGTTGAACATCTCAGGGACCAATCTGACCGTTACTAAGGATCTGGTTTCTCAGATCTCAGGCGTTCAATCCAACATCTCCTCGATTAGCACCAGCATAGCTGCTCTGAACAAGGAACTAGCTGGGATTATCGGCTCAGGCATAGGCTCGGGAGTAGGCTCGGCGCGAGCGTCGATTGCATCCGGTGCTGCTTCCTTGAGGCAGAGCACTGCGATCCGAGCGGCGCTGAGGCAGCGGCTGGCGGCAGTGACGCAGAAAGTAGCGGGTCTCAACGCGAACGCGTCTGCGCTCGCTGGGATGGTGAACGGCCTGAGCGGTGCTCTGAACAGCGCTGTGAGCGCCGGTTTGAACGCGGCTGGCGACAGCAGCGTGGTGTCGGGCCTCACGAATCTTCTGCCCCAGCAGGCTGGCATGCTGCGTAGCGTGCTGACTTCATGCAATGGCCTGCAGTCTCTCCAGGCCGGTGCTGGCCGATCTTCAGATCCTCAAGATGTAAGTGACCCCTATTAACCCCTGTTGACTCACGTTGACTGCTATTGACTACTGCTGGCTTCTTTTGCCCTTTGCTGCTTGAATGTTAAACGTGTGTTATTTTCCCTCTCACCCCATCAACCTCCCCTCAACCCACAATGCAGTGGCTCGGACTACCTGGTCACATACTACCTCTACGCAGCTGGAGTCACCAAGGCTCCAGAATCTCAGGCCATCTTCAAGGGCAGCCCCTGCAGCAATGCTGCTTCAGCAGTCCTCACCCTCCCTGGCACATGGCAGCCCATGAGCCCTGTGTCTTGGTCGCTGGCCAATGTCGTGAAGGTGTCGGCTGCTGACGTGGCGGATGTGCTCGCATCACTCCAAGTGGTCACCAATGATGACCTTTACCTCGGATTTTCCGGGGCTGACGGGTCACTCTCAGGAAAAATGATTGGTGGGAAGCTGTGATTCGTCGAACCAGAACAATGATGATTATTGGGGTGGTGGGGGAACATTACAGGGGCACCACACACGCATGCTGACGCTCAAGTAAACTAGGTAGTAGAATAGTAGGCTAGAAATGGTGCCTTTGTAATGTCTCTTCATCACATATTTTGGTTCAATTTTGACAAAGCAAGAGTTCTAACCTGTGACTTCCTTTTGTGGATAGCTAGGGTAACGAAATGTACAACCGTTATCAGACACAAACAACGGTTTACACGGAAGCTCTGTTGTAAGCCTCGCGTGTAGAAAGAAGGCACTAGAGTGGTTCTGTGCTAACTGTAGCAGCAGTGCTTCTTGCAGGAGACCATCCACGAGAACCAGCTGCGGTAGAGAGAGAGAGAGAGAGAGAGAGAGAGAGAGAGAGAGAGAGAGAGAGAGAGAGAGAGAGAGAGAGAAGAGAGAGAGAGAGAGAGAGAGAGAGAGAGAGAGAGAGGAGAGAGAGAGAGAGAGAGAGAGAGGATAGAGAGCGCAAGCAGAGCAGCAGCAACAGCAGCAGAAACAGCAGCAAGCAAGCAGCAGCAGCAGCAAGCAGCAGCAGCAGCATGCGCCGCACATAAGCCTCATGAAGAGCACCAGGTGCGGAAGCATCCGCCAACCGTAACCCGAGCTTCTTGGGTGCAATCAACCCCTGGCAGTTGGAGCATCCCTCTTAGGCAAAGAAGCACTACCAGATGGCAGAACTACCTGCAGTCAAGGGGCGTGTTAATAAGAAGTTTGTGAGAGAGGGAGAGTGCTTTGAGTTAGGGGACATGGGCGGAAGGGTGATGGCTGAAAAAGGCAATGGATTTTGGGAACAAGATTAGAACCTGTGGAGTTTGTAAGTTCTCCCCAAAGTTAGGGGGATGGAGGAAGTGGGGGATGCAGATAAGTTTCTGGGATGCTATCAGAGAATACAGGGAGAGAGAGCAGGGTAGAGGGACAAGCACTTCGGAGAAGGGCCTGCGATTGTGAGAGAGGTATATGAGGTCTCGGATGGGCGTCGAGACTTGGGGGGGTGGGAGAAAAAGAAGAGATGCAACAAGCATTTGCCAGTGTCGCTTCTAAAATTTCTTAACAGTGATGCAGGTTACACACCAGCGAGAGGAAGCTGCGGTGGGAGCACCATGTCTACACAAGCAAACAGCAACCAGGCAGTCTCGCTGGTGCAAATGCTAAGAAGGTGAATCACGCAAAGCGTAGCAATGGGGATGACAGGTAGGTGATTTCTGAGTTGACCCAATAGGACATTGCAGAAGTAGCGACTCTAGTAGACTGCGACACCTTGGCTAGAATCTGCCAGAGCGCATCGGGGAGAACCACGGGGAATCTTGACTCTCTCAAAAGCACCAGACCACTTTTTGGGCTTTCAGAACCTACGTAACTGCCCCTTTTGGCCCTCGGAAACTTCCCTGAACGTCCTGATTAGCATGTGCCAGAGCACACCGAGCAGCACCACCAAGGCACTTGGGCTCTCGCAAAAGCACCAGACCAGTTTGTAACAACATGGACACCTTTACTAGTCTAATGCCACCCCAAATCATTATATAGTCCTATATTAGCATAATGCCACCCCACCCCAAATCGACTTTCTAGCTCCTCACAACCCACTGAAAAGGCTTCTCCTGCCCTCCGGACGCTCCCCCAAAACCCCCTGGCAGAATCTGCCAGAGCGCACTCGTAAGCATCGCCAGTGCATTTTGGCTCTCGCAACAAAATGCAAACAATTTTTCAAAAGCCCTGGGCGCCTTCATTAGTCTAATGCCACCCCAATTCGGATTTCGAGCCCCTCACAACACACTGCAACTGCCTCTTTTTCCCCCGAGGAGCTCTACGAACACCCTGGCCAGAATCTGCCAGAGCGCAGCGCACTAAGAACCACCGGGGCAAATGTTTCTTCGCAACAGTTGCAAACCATTTGTCAAAGCCCTGGGCTCCTTAATTAATCCAATTCTACCCCAAATTGACTTTCAAGCATGTCATAACCCACACTGCAACTGCCCCTTTTTTACCTCCGGGAGTTCCTCGAACTCCCTGGCCAAACCTACAGAGCGCACTGGTAAGCACCGCTAGGGCATTCTGGCTCTTGCAACAGTTGCAAACCATTCTTCGAAGCCCTGGGCACCTTTATTAGTCTATTGCCACCCCCAATCGACTTTCTAGCCCCTGAAAACCCACTGCAGCTGCCCCTTTTGCCCCCCACTGGAGCTCCCCGAACACTTTGGCCAGAATCTGCCAGAGCAGCACCGCCACTCAATTTCGGCATTTGGAATTGTTGCACGCCACTTTTTGAAGCCCTGAGCACCTCTTTTAGGCAAATTCCATCCGAGATTGACTTCTTGGCCCCTCAAAACCCACTGCAACTCCACGGTTTGCCCCCCGGCAACTCCCCGAACACTCTGGCCAGAATCTGCCAGAGCAGCACCGCCACCCAATTCCGGCACTCGCAACAGTTGCAAGTTCCTTTTTCAAGCCGCCCTGGCAACTTCTTTAAGCTAATGCCACTGCAAATCGACTTCCAGGCTCCTTAAAACCCCCTGCAACCGGCCCTTTTGCCCCCCGGCAGCTTCCCGAACACTCTGGCCAGAATCTACCAGAGCAGCACCCCGCACTCAATATCGGCATTCGCAACAGTTGCAATCCACTTTTTGAAGCCCTGTGCACCTCTGTTAGGCTAATGCCATCCTAAATCGACTTCCTGGACCCTCACAACCCCCTGCAACTGCACCGTTTGCCCCCCGGCAGCTCCTTGAACACTCTGGCCAGAATCTGCCAGAGCAGCACCGCCACTCAAATTCGGCATTCGCAACAGTTGCAAACCACTTTTTGAGGCCCTGCGCACCTTTTTTATTCTAATGCCATCCCAAGTTTACTTCCTGGCCCCTCACAACTCTCTGCAACTGCCCATTTTTTCCCCCCTGGCAGCTCTCCGGACACTCTGGCCAGAATCTGCCAGAGCAGCACCGCCACTCAATTTCAGCATCCGCAACAGTTAGAAATTAATATATGAGGCCCTGTGCACCTTTGTTATTCTAACGCCATCCCAATCTACTTCCTGGCCCCTCACAACCCTCTGCAACTGCCCATTTTTTTCCCCCTAGAAGCTCTCGGACACTCTGGCCAGAATCTGCCAGAGCAGCACCGCCACTCAATTTCGGCATTCGCAACAGTTGAAAATTGAATTATGAGGCCCTGCGCACCTTTTTTATTCTAATTCCATCCCAAATCCAAATCCTACTTCCTGCCCATCACAACTCTCTGCAACTGCCCATTTTCCCCCTTGGCAGCTCTCCGGACGCTCTGGCCAGAATCCGCCAGAGCAGCACCCCACTCAATCTCGGCATTCGAAACAGTCGCAAGCCAATTTTTCAAGCACTGGGCACCTTCTTTATGTCGAGATAGTAAGTACGATGAGGAGCCATAGCTAGGGTTGACCTAGCTAGGCAAGAGAGAATGAAGCAAAGGAGAGGTTTGCACTAGCAACAATGGTGGTACAAATAGCTAACCCTAGAAGGGTTGTACTCGCTATAGAGCACCCCACTGCAGGCTAGAGCATAATATTCTGACACACCCCCATAGCCAAAGTGGGGTGTAATCAGCAGAGCAAGCAAAGCAGTACAAGCTCAGGGTGGATCACGATGTCACCACACATTCTGAGCACAAGTTCAAGAAGCAATAGTTTAAAGTTCACAATTATGAGCAAAGCTAGAGGCAGTCACAGAGGGCAAGTGAGGAGGAGGAGGGCTGGCGAGAGGAGAGTAGATTAAGAGGCGACGACTGAAGCTGCAGACACACGGGCAACAGACGGCTCTGGTGCGACACAGTGGCTACCGGGAATGAGTGCCCCGGAGTACAGGAGTAACAGGCTCCGCGGCTAATACGCGCGGCAGGAGCAACGGACCCACAGGCGACGGCGCAACCGGCTCTCTGAGCTACCGGGAATGAGTGCCCCGGAGTACAGGCGCTGCGTACGACACGACGGCAACCTCCGCTCAACCTCCCCAACAGTCCCCACCCTCGACACACACCCCCTGCTTCAAACCCTAGCTCCACTCCACGGTCACCCACCTTCCCCAAACCCTAGCTCCACACACCACACCACCGCAGCCAAACCCTACCCCCAACACAGGCCACCAACACAACACCCCCCCACCAAGCGGCAGCTGTAGCAGAGAGGAGACGAGGGAGAGGAGGAGAAGGGGAGTAACTCACAACCGACACCCCCATAGCCGCCACCCCCACACTCCTCACCCCCAAACCCTAAAACGGGCGAAACGGGGGAAGGAGCACGGGGACGGCGAGGGGGACGCGCGCGGGGCCCCCAGGACGCCACCACGGGGCAGCGAGGGGCCGCGCGCGGCTCCTTAGGGCGCCGCGAAGGGGCAGCGGGGGGTCGCGCGCAGTTCCCCAGGGCGGCGCGACGGAAAATCGGGGCCGCGCGCGGCTCCCAGGGCGTCGCGACCGTCGACGGGGCAGCGGGGGGTCGCGCGCGGCTCCCCAGGGCGGCGCGACGGGAAATCGGGGCAGCGGGGGGTCGCGCGCGGCTCCCCAGGGCAGCGCGACGGGAAATCGGGGGCACTCGGGGGTCCCCCACGGTAGGAACCGCCGCGCCTCGGGGCACGGCGGACAGGAAACCGCCGCGCGTCCGGGCGTACGGCGGGGAGAAAACCGCCGCACGCCCCGAGCGCGCGGCGGGATGAAAAATCCGTCGCACGCCACGGGGCGTGCGACACAAACAGTAGTAGGAGCAGCGGAAGACTGAGGTGGTGGGGCCCACCCACAGGATCGACCCAACTGGATCGTCCTGCTCTGATAGCATGTCGAGATAGTAAGTACGATGAGGAGCCATAGCTAGGGTTGACCTAGCTAGGCAAGAGAGAATGAAGAAAAGGAGAGGTTTGCATTAGCAATAATGGTGGTACAAATAGCTAACCCTAGAAGGGTTGTACTCGCTATAGAGCACCCCACTGCAGGCTAGAGCATAATATTCTGACACTTAGGCTAATGCCAAGCCAATGCCACCCCAAATTGGCTTCCTCCTCGCCCCTCACACACAAACCCCCCTGCAAACGCCCCTTTTGCCCCCCGCAGCTCCTCGAACACTTTGGGCAGAATATGCCAGAGCGACATCGCCACTCAATTTCGGCACTCCAGCAGCAGTTGCGAACCACTTTTTATAGCCATGGGCACCCTTGTGAGTCTAATGCCACCACAAATCGACTTTCTAGCCCGTCACAACCCATTTAAAATTTAATTGTGAACACTTGCGATTTGCCTTGCAAATGCAACGTCTCATTTCAACTGGCAAGTACAAGATTTTATCGTCCAAGCATTGTACAACATATAGAGCTACCATGCATCTCATGCTAGGGTGGGGGGGCGGGAAACTTGAAATTGAAAGTTCGAAATGAAAACGTGGGTGAAGGCCAAATGGCCTTCGCCCCCTCTTTTATACCGAAAAAGAGGGAATTAGCGTTTCGCCGAAGCCTTTGCTTCGGTACAATTCGCTTCGCTATTCACAATACACAATTTTGAAAAGTGTTACACACTTAAAAATTTTACATTAATTGGAATTATCCAG